GATAAGATGCCAAACAGCCTGCAGAAACTCAGCAGGAGCTGAAAACAGCTGCCTTGTACAGAGAGAAGATACTGCCCTGATTAACTAAAAAAAATATGGATGGGTGGGAGAAGGCGCCGGCAATTTTTCAGTTATCTGGTTGCAAGAGTCTTGGTCCTGAAAAAACACTTGACTGTTACTGGGAAAATGAAAGCTGTGAAGTAGATAAATATGCAAGGAGCTATAGAGAATCTCGGAGCAAACAGAAATCCACATCTTACGAAATGGAAACAGAATAATACAGTATTTTGGAATGACTGCTTTAGACATTTCATCAGTGTTATGTTTCCCTTGTTCAGCCTTTAAGCAGATAGGATCCTCCTTTTTGGTTTCCACCAATACTGTTTTCTTTGACTCGTGTCCTTGATAAATTCTCCCAGACTTGTAAACTGCTTTCTACACTTTATCAGAAGAGAAAGCTGGCTGGGAAAATTAGTATTACATTCCTTTCTTGTGCACAGCGCGTTCAGAAGTGGTTCAAACACATTAGCTACCGAGTCCTTAAATTCACTTCTTGAATTGAGATGCTCATATATAACAAGAAAAGCCCACCTTATTGCATTCTGATTTACACAACTTCCTAAACCATTACAACTCATCACCTCCCCTTTCTAGGCAAACCACGTAACCCTTAGCTACTAATGTCTGTCCAACCCACCAGGGTCCTTTAAAGCACTTTCCTGCAATTTTTTTGCACACTGTTGTAGTTTCAAGTGCAAGATGCTCTAGACAGGAGCAGAGCTCTCAACAATTAGAGAATAATGCAGAGACGTGGGTCTCTGCAGCATAAAGAAGAGTTATGGCTAGACAATGAGAGGCAGACGAGTAGTAAACTATTATTTCCTCAACAGACCAGAGAGAAACAGCCACCTAAACGATAGATGTAAAATAAACAAGGAGATTATAAAGCAGTATTTAAAAATACCTGAAAATATTTCAAACACCATTCTTGTTAAAAGCTGAGCAGATGCAAGCCCTAAAGGCCTCCATTTTCAATGGTAATGCCAGGAAGGTTCAGACCATATCGTTCTTCCAAATATCAAAAAACAGCATAATTAAGAAAACACCGTGCTGAATACAACAAAAAGCAGAACTCTGCTCATCCACATCCATTATTTTTTAAGCAAAACCTGTGATTTCTGTTCAGTCATCCCCCTTTGCTTATTTTCCTAAGCCTCCATTTAATACCATCTCTGCATCTTACCACAAAAATCTGTAGAAAGACCTCACCAATTAAAGATTATCTTCGTAAAGCTGACAACATGACAACTTCTTTACTATGGTAATTTTTTATGTACCGAGTAGAACGCTTAGAAATTATAAGCAATTTCGTTAGGCTTCGGATCAAGCAAATCACTCGAAATTTTCTCTCCTGCTTTCCATATTCTCAAGCCATTTTTTTTCAAAACTTGAAATGAAATGGGGTTTTCGAACCCCAAAAAAGCCTATTAAAGCAGCATAGGAATGAGCTGCCACACTGGGGTGTTCAGATTTACATACTGCTACAGCTCCAAAGCTAAGTTTCCATACCTTAAAGAGTCTTCCTGAATAATGCTCTGACACCATGCTTTCCAACTGGATCGCCACTTCTTCTTTTGCTCTCTTAAAAATTGCTTCTGAGGCTGTCAGGGAACCCTCAGTTGCTCAGATGAGCAAGGTAAGCAATGAGATAAAACGAGTCAACCATACCACCCAGAAGGGCTAGAGCAGCAGCTAGTACCAGAAATCTACCAGTACATTCCAGCTTTTGTCAGTTAAAAAACATTGATGAATAAGATTTTAAACACCTCACACACATATATATATGTATGAATACTTATTAATATTAAACAGAGGCAAAACCAAGACTTTGATAGGAAGTCAAAGAACCCACATACGTCTAGATGCAAATGCACGTAACAAATTGGTCAGATGCCTGAGTAAATAAACTGCCAGGCCTACAAAATGAGTGAATCAAAAGAAAGAACCGAAGAAAAAAGAAATGCTAAGCAGGCTATCTTGCGAGACGTGCACACACACCAAAATCTCCGCTGTACTGTACTTTAAACCATCAAAAAACAAAGCCAAGAAGAAACCAAAATGAATTAACATACATACTTTGGACTAGGTCAATGAAATATGTCCACACAAGCTTTATTAATGCCATCACGAGTTCAGTGAAGCCCAATGGACATCTCAACTGGTAAACAGAGTAATGAGAAACATTGTCATATCCAGTTAGAACAGATTTGCAAACAATAGACATCCTAACTAATGAGAAACATGGCTGTAACTTGCAAGTTTAAGAGACCCTCAAGGTAAGTAAAGCTCCAAAATGCTCTCCGCAACTTAAAAGACCCAAACCAAAGAACTTTACTATCAAGAAAATGGTTGTTGCATGTCAAAAATTCATCTGTATATGAACATCGAGAAAAGAAAACATACTTTCCCAGCTGAAGAAAGATGCCAATGCTGCAAACCACATCATAAACCCATAGAATGCCAGAGGGACTTCCAAGAAGACACAAAGCCCCAACCAACAACAGCAACAGAAAAAAAAAAGCAAAGCAAATTTGGTGGCAAGTAGAGGAACTAACATACAGCTTGTTCTTATTTAAACCATTTTTCTGTAAGCCCTGAGCACATACTTGCATCTGCATTGCCAACAGTGCTCAGAACATTTAAATAGAAACTTTACTCTTAAAATGCAGCAACATCACACTAGAAAGAAACCCAGAATTTTAGCGAATGCAAAATGTGAGCAGCTGTAAATGCAAAACCATACATTAAGTCGACTGCTATACCTCTCATTCAGAACTTTTTTAAATGTCTCACACAAAGAAAATTTGTTCTCAGAAACTACTTTTTCCACTACCGCAGAGTATTTCCAGCACACCTTACACTTTTTTGTGCCTTTTTTAGCTGAGTGACAAGTTAGAAAGCACTGAGGCCAGTGAAAAATGATTATGAAACAGTATAGCCTGGACACAACAAGCAAACAGGGATTACTTCGGCTCCAAACCAGTTACACAACTCTAAGCAGCCCCCACATTGCTGCTCCACAGTCAGAAACAGAGAACTACAAAAGAGTTTGCTGCTTAGTTCTTGAAAAACCAGAAGCCAAAACTTTCCTGGTGTGACCGTGGGATAAAGATGTCCCATTTGGTCCAACTACTCCTCCAAAATCAATCAATGCTGAGCTCTTACTCTGCTCTCCCCGAGGATCTCCCAAGAAGGATAAAACAGAATAATCAAAACAGCTTCTCTCTTTGTTGGCCAACTGCTGTATTGCAGAGCAGATAGTTTCTCAACAATTTCAGCAAAGACTGAATAGGAAATACGCAGAATGGCAATCGATGCAAATTTCATCTCTCATCTCTACATGCTGCACTGTGCAATAGATATGTCTAAAAAATTATTTGCAGAATTTGAGAAGATTAGTAGAGAAATTAAACAACGGCCCGTGAAAAGGCAAGCCTGAAATGGAAACTATTTCACCAGGGAGATGAAGAATTCTTCAAAAATCTTTAAATATTTACATTATAAACATCTATTCAAAACTGAAAATGTGCTAATGACAGGAGGTTGAGACACCATCAATACAGGGGAGAAGCAAGGTACCTTAGAGAAAGAACTGGAACTGAAATAATCTAAATATGATGAAACTCGATAGAGCAAAAGACAAGCTTGAACACTATCAGAAGGATTCTGCTATAAAACAGAATATTATTAAGAAATTGAGTACTGATGGGAATGAGCAGATCACAAAATGGCAACAATCTACCACCATAATCATCCAGAAAAAAAGGCACTAAAACTTTCCAGCAGTGAGATTTGGAAAAAGAAATGTCAAATTTTGGATGCTCATTTCATTCTTTTTTTATTTATACATGCACACACACATATGAATGTTTTAACGTCTTCGAGCTCATTTAGAACTTAATTCTGTCAGGTTCATTCATTCTGAATAGTCTCTTACTTTGAAAGCAGAAGCACAGAAATCAATTAAATTATTCAAAGTAAAGCATTTATTCAATATGAGTGTATGTAAAAGCAGATGGCATAAGGAAAGCTGTATTATACAGCTTGTATTGAAAGACTGATTTAAAGCAGCTTTTTCCTCCACACAATGGAGAACATTTACTGGCATCATACACATTGATTTGTTATTTTAATATAATGCATGAAAAACTTTAAGAATCAATTAAAAATACGCCTAAGCATGATCATTGGAAAAAAATGGCAAAATTATGCAGACTTGCTCACAGCACAACTGACTAATAAAGAATTAATTAATAAGAAACTAAAATTATTAAAATAATCTACTAGACATGACTAAGTAAGACCAAAAAGCATACCTACACGTGGTAAATCAATGGGAAATCTGTCTCATCTTCACTCCAATGTGATACCACAACATGACACCAAAAGGCTGCCCTTTTCAAAGGTACTTACTTTTCCAAATACATTATCATTCCAAACTAAAAGTCAACATTTGTATATGTACTTCTATCAGTATTACTAACAACAACCTAGGCTTTGTGGTGAACATCAGCTTTCCTACACCACCTCCTCTTTGCAACTAGTATAAAAGTAATAGTGGATTTTTTTTCCTGTATTTGAGTCACACAACTTCAGAATACAAACTGGCAAACCCAAAACTATTTCCTCTACCGAGCACGGCATTTGCTAACATGAATTCAACTATTCTTTTGTCTGTATTTTGGTCAGCCATGTACCTTTTACAATCTAGCTATCCCATACAGGTCCTGAAGTCAGCCTCTATGATATATTGCAAGAGTAGATTTTATCATGAATACTTGTCCAAAAAAACCTTATGATGAATGTAAACTCGGAGATCTGTACATGGATATTGTTGGTCATCCCTTGTATTGCATTAGTTTACTACCTGTTTTTCAACCCCATCTCACTGTCTATTTCCCTACTGGTTCAAATGTTCTAATTTAATTTTTTTTACTCACTTCTGTGCTCCCTGAGACAACAGCTTTGTCCACGTTCACCGATAGCTGCTCTTCAGTCTGGCAGACTCCCATTGACCACTCCGCACAGCGGTGATGAGCCCAGCAATGACCTAATGCATTGTGAGGAAAGGAGAGCTTCAGTTTTACAACTCTATCGAGCATTTCTTTTAAATATCGAACTGCATTCTAGTAGAATACACTCGTCAGAGAAAATGAGTAGTCTTTCTTCCTCCTGTTTTCCTTGTTGTAACATTTAATGCCCTTATTATCATACACCAAATACAATGCAGTTACTATCAGATACCAAATATACTGCAACTTTTTGATACATAAAACATCTTCCACTTCATTTTAGCATATTCTCTAGATCTGTTTTTACCTTTCAGATGCCTGATCATAAAATCCTAGTAAGAGGGTATATACATTATGTTTGTGCACAAGACAGAAAAAAAGGTCTTGGTTTTAACTCTAGACAACATTTGTCTATATATGTACTCTTAAGATGTTTCCCAATCACCACATGTAGATCTGTATGTTTATGTAGAACATGCTCAAATGATGCTTTAGAATTCTACATAAAATTTTTGAAAGGTAAAAACATAGCATAAACAGAAGAACCACAGAAAAAAACTGTCTCAATACAACAGATGCGTAATACAGATTTAAATACAAACATGTTATTGGTAAATGAGTATCTGCTTAAAAACAGAATTTGCAGAAATCAATGGGTATATCGTAAAAAAAAGTTTCTAATTCAGCCATGGGAAAAGACAGTGTAACCGATGAATACTTCCAAAGGAATTCTGTGACAGCTTTTTCCTAGATTTGAAACAATGCTGTACATTAGCTGCTGAAATTAGATACTGCAGTTGGCCAACTTAAGCATTCAGCCACAAAAAAACTCCCTCAAAAATTCTGCAATATCCTGGGAAGAGTCCACTACAAATAATAATGACAAAATAATTTATATTGATCAAACCCGCATCCCCACGCACTATAGTATAACTATTTAAGACAGAAGTTGTTGTTTTAAATTAGACTTTGAAATCAATTTTCACACTCATGAAAGAATAACATTTATATTACTGCACAGGTTTAAACAGAAATGTATTTCCATTTTTTGAGTCAAAATATGTGAGTGGACTACTGGCATCAAAAGCATGTGGACATTTTCTGAAAAAGTAATTCATAATTGAATAAAAAGAGAAGCTACATTAAAACAAAAGAGTAAATGACAAACCAGACAGTTTTCTAACAAAAAAACATGCAAGTGTGTTTTACCTCTATTGTTCTATGAATACCGGCTCTTCTAAATCTTTCTTTCCATTATTTTAGATAATCCATAAGAGCAGCATGAAGTTAGGTGAGGCTACAGGATTGGGACTTTAAAAATTGTATTGAGCTGTGTCTCATTTCTTTGCTCTTTTCTCCACAAAATGCAACTGCGACACTGAAAATGTTGCTGAACAACAGTTCAGCAGCAGATTAAAACTATTTCCTCATACAGTCACAGAATCGTTTAGGTTGGAAAAGATCTTCAAGATCCTGAAGTCCAACCATTGAAATGTCCTTCCAAATATCTTTGCTAAGATTCTATCCAGTACTTTACAGAAACATCACATAACATTGGTAAAATGTTATGAAAATGGAAATGTTAAGAAAGCATAATCAAATTTTACAAACACCAGAGCACAGAAAATCAACAGCTGAATAACTTCACTCATTGTCACTGCAGCTTTTGGTGTATGCCCAACAATGAAGAAGCGCAACGTATCTTACCTGTTGGCTCAAATAAGGCTTGAACATCAATGTCATCTGGTAAGCCAACTAAACTGAGTTCATCCCAGAATTTGACAACCTGATCGTCAGAAGCAGTTTGGGTGCTTACACTTGTACACGATGCTATACTTGATCGAGATCTGTATCAAGGAGCAGAAAAAAAAACAAACAACTCAGAAGTGACCACACACTTTGTTCACTGTAAATGATACAAAACTCAGGGAAATCCTTTTTTTTTTCCCAAACATGGTTAAAATATAATCTACATGACCAAAAATCTGACTTCCTCATGCTCTAACTCAACACCTTTTGGGTTAACGAACTTTTCAGTTAAAGCTACTATTCAACAGTCAAAAGAGAGCTTGATAAAATTCCCCTTTCTGCAGCTTGCTCTCCTCCTATTGTTCAGGATACACACTTGGTTTGTTTGTTTGTTTAATCCTCTTCTATTTAACATTAAAACTTGCCCAACATTAGGAATGGAGAATTAAGGAACAGCAAGCAGTCTGTGTTACTCTGGGGAAGAACAGGTGTAGAAGGAAGGCAAGAGGGTGGTGAAGGTGGGGAGCATCAACCTCAGTTGCAGAGGATAAGTAAGAAAAGAAGGGAGGGGTAGGGACAGCCAGAAGAAATGCAGGGGGATTCAGAAATCCAGTGATATAAAGGTTACTATCTTGTGCTGACATGGGCGTATCTCATTTCTAACTGTATTAATTTGTTCCCCCAATTCTAATCTTAACAGAAAACAGGTAATAACACTCAGATTAGTCAACTAACAGAAGGAAGTGGTGATTCCTCCTCCTTTATTTCCTGCTGGCAAAAATTTATCTTGGACATCTGAGGATCTGCATTAAGCTTACTTACTCAAGAGATCTGACCTCATTCAATGCTTCAGTGGTTAGCAGGAAACAGGGTGGTGATGTGTTTTTTTTTCTATTGATGTTCTTTGAACTTCATTATTCTCCCCCATTAGTAACTCTAAGCTGTACATGTGCCGTTTCTTCTGAGTTTCTAGAGTTGAGACTGCATAAAAATACCTCTCTGCTGACTGCTCTCCTGCATACAACCACTAAAAAAGGACACTACCAATGAGCTGGTGCCAAGAGCCACAGTAAACAGCGGACTTGTAACCGGTGATAACTCTGCCTTCCTAAATACTACCTGTGCTCTACTACAAAAACATTCAGAAATATACGGGGAAAAAAATCAATAAAAAAACTTGTGGAGAAAAAAAAAAAAAGAGTAACAACACTCTTGCACTGCCAGAGAGAGCTTAAAAGTTTTTAATTACTACATGATATTCTAATGACTCATGACAGTTAGCTCCAGCACCATCAGCAGAGCGATGCCCCTCACAGAGCACCAAATTAACCCGCTCTGGGGTCTACAAAAGTCCTTCCTGAACAGGCCCCACGCTCAGCAGAGCCGGTTCCAACATTAAACCACCACTCAAAACACCAAAATTGAAAAAAAAAAAAATTTAACCCCGGTTGACACGGCATTTCTCCCAGGATCCAATCCAGTCAGCAAACATCCTCATTTACTCTGCAGTTTTATCCTGAAGTGACACACGCTCCGCCCCAGCCTGTTTGTGGTTTTGTGTGTTTTTTTTTTTTAACTTTGTGTTTTTTTAAGGCACTATTTGACGTGCATATCAAACACCGAGTAACCGCGTGAGGGGACGGGGTAGCTCCGTGAGGCTGAAGACAAGCTGTTTTCCCCCACCAGCACCCTTCACCACCCACTTTTACGATGTTGACAGAGCCGTACGGCAGCGTGCTGTCGGCCTCGCCAAGCACAAAACGACCTCTGCTAGCGAGCCGGGCCCGAGCACTGAACCTTAACAAGTCTCGTTGGGCACACCCAGCCGAAAATACGTCACCAAAGCGCTCCTGGCAGATCTGGCACCCCTAGGAGTGAAGCTGGGTGGCAAAGAGCCATGCACCACACAGCCACAGCCCCCCTGCTAGTGGCTGTGGGACCCCGTTTGTGGCTCCATCCTAAAGCAAGGGGGCTGCTGCTGCTCCCTTCCCTTCCTTTCTTTTCCCTTCTTTTCCTTTCCCTTCCCCTCAGCTTCCCTCAGCGGGGCCTCGGGGCTGGCGGCGGCCCCACACTCAGAGCCAATTCCCGACCTTCAGCGCGGCCCCGCTGGGGGCTGAGCCTAACAACCCGCTTGTCTGATCAGCCACAGCCGAAGCGTCGTCGCCGTATCTTTAATAAAACCTTTCTGCGGAGTTGTGTGTGTGTGTTCCTGCAATTTTTCAGAACTAGTGAGCTCAGTAATTCAGGGCCTGGAGCGCTTCCCCTCTGAGGGGAACGTCTATAAATGCCTGGAGGTATTTCAGTGCTGTTCTCACTGGTGCCCAGTGCCAGGACAGGAGGCAGTGGGCCCAGCCTGGAGCCCGGGAGGTTCCCCTGACCCCCAGGCAGCCCAGAGGCTGTGGGGTCTCCTCCTTGGAAAGCTCCAAAAGCCGCCTGGCCATGGGCCTGGGCACCCTGCTCTGGGTGGCCCTGCTGGGGCAGGGGCTGGGCCCGAGGGACCCCGAGGTGCTGCCAGCCTCACCGGGCTGGGATTCTGTGGTACTGAAAGGTGGCACCTACCAGACAGGACACGGGATACTGCTAGTTCAGTGACTGACAACACTGTTTTAGGAAAGCCAATGAACACCACTTTCAAAGGGTACTGAACACGCTGTGTGTGTGTAACTCTCCTGTCACAGTGGCATGAACCGGTTTTGGAGGACACGGGGAAAATGCTTCCAAGAGATGGAAAGGTTTCTATTTACCCTATTGTACAAAATAAATAGCACTTCAGAAATCCATTATCTTCTATCCTTTTGCATACTGTCTTCAATTTAATTTCACAGAATCACACAGAATTGTAGGGGTTGGAAGGGAACTCAAGAGATCATTGGGTCCTATCCCCAGCCCCCATACTTTGAACTCACAAGATCTGTGCTTTTACAATAACTTGTAAATAATCTTTTCTATCATATTCTTGTCAAGATTCTCACTTAAATAGAGAAACCAATCTTTAAGAAGTGAAAAAGAGGCAACCATTTCTGTGTGGAACCAGGAGTTCAACTCAAAGATCTTTGTGGGCCCCTTACAACTTAGGATACTCTACAATTCCTACCTGTTTTCCTACACCGCTTGCATTCTTTCAAAATAAACCAAAAAACCAAACAAACCTACTTAATGAACCACATCAAATTTTCACAAATGCAACAGTACAAGTACCTCTAGACATGCTTCGTGAGCTGCACAGAAATGAAAAGCATAAAACCATAAAACTGACTTACTTCTTCTGTCCTCTCTGTTTGCGCGGCACTGAGTTTTGCCTTGGAGTTTTCTCGCAAGCTCCATCGGTGCTGTCGCTGGCTTCGCTCTTGTTTAAAGGCTGGTTCTTCCATGGGATAACATATCCAGGAGTTGGACTGAATTGTTTTAAGTCTCCTTGTCCTAATGAGCTTCGTTCACCACAGTAACAAAAGGCGCAGAGTTGTTCGCTGCGGGAGGGAAGATAATTATTTCTTTTGAGGGAGGGGGGAAACAGCAGAGATATTCCATCCCAGATCGACTTCCATGCCAATTTAACCCTTCACAGAAAAGCAACAACAGCTCAGAAGTGCTGTCAGGTATCAGAACCCAACATGCAGGAGGACTACTTCCAGCCTACTTACACTTATGCTAAAGAACCTTTGAATTTGCAGAAGTGCATGATTCAAATAAATAAACAGGAAATGTCGAAGTGCTTAATAAAAAGATCATCTTTTCGTTCAAAAATTCTTAGCACATGACGGGTCCACCACTATCCCCAGACACGCAGTAGCTAAAAGGCAGAAGAAAACTGGGCAAAAAAAAAAAGAAAAGTATACGAGGAACAACTTGATTAACATCCTGCACCCATTGGAAGACCTCAGCTCTGCCATCATGGAAAAGGCAAAGCCTTATGTACAGAGAGAGGATGTGCTCCACATACACTTCCTATAAGCACACTGCCACCATGTACAACAGCACAGCGCGCATATCCTATACACCAAAAGGTTTATTCAGAGAAAAAACAGCCTGGGAAAATCACAGCAATGACTGCAGTCCCACACAGCAGAGCATATGATGCGCACAGATCCAACTACCCCCTTTCACACACCAAAACAATACAGTGCCTCCAAGTTTGGCTAGAGGAAATTTGTATTTACAGAGCTGTGACCGTTAAGCCATCCCTGTACCACTTGCAATTATGTTTTAGCATGCAGAACGTAGCAACAGCACTGAAATGACAGCTCTGACAGCACTCCTTGTGGCACATCATATGGAAGCTTCTGAAAAATATTTCTGTAATAAACATATCCACAAACTTAAAATGTGAACTTCTGCAACTAATGCAGTTTGCATTAGTTTAAAGGAAGGCCACTTAACACATTTTTATGCTTAAATGAGCAATTCTGTTTTCTTCATATTCCCGCCCCTAAGACCCCAGAAAGATGCCTGAGGGAATCAGGCTCTTGGCTGGAGGCCTCGTTTTGACTGGATCCCGTTTAAATAGAGTTAAGTGCGTCTGCAAGGTGGCATGTTTGGGTTTTGGGCTGCGTTGGGTGGGTGGGTGGAGGGAGGTAACGTGGGAAGAAGGGGAAATCTTAAGGCTAAACTCCTGCATACATTTCCCAGTAAATACTGGAAAGGAAACAGGGAGTACCTGTGCTTTTCTGCCAGGTGAGGTCTGAGCAGCGACAGAAGAAGACAAACAAAAAAATAGAAGTTCCAGCTTGGAACAGAAGACCCCAAAAACCCAGCAAAACCACTTCAGATTTGATTTAGCACACTCTGTGACAGGTCTTTTGCCTGCACCACAGAGCAACACTAGGAAAAAGAAAGATGAAAGTAATTAAAAGCGAGGTACATCAAATACCTTTGAACTGTGCTGCTATTACAGGGCTGGCAATACCAGATAAAGCCTAATGCGGGGAGCAGCACGTCAGGAGTACTCAGCCCGAAAGGAGGCCACTTCCTTTCACTTACAGGCAGGATTGCACTTTCCCCAGGGCAGACACACTGCTGGGGTCATGCAGGTTGGTGGGCAGGTAAAACAGGTGCACTTCCTGGTACTCAAATGAATATCCTGCCATAGTGCTGATAGGAAATGTTCACCTCCACATTTCCGGCCGAGGTTCCACGTCCCTCATGGATCCTACCTGAGCACAAACCCCAGGAGCTGATGGTAAATACCTGCCACTTTCCCGAAATCTTTACAAAAAGATACTCGAAGGAAAAGCGATGTGAAGAAAATGAGGATAAACGCAGCATGAGACTGGGGGGAAAAACGCATAGTTACGGCTGAATGGGAGCATACATCTGCCTCACAAGCTAGCTTTCCATGTGGCACAGCACCAAATCAGTGCTGCTGCCTATGTCAGCGCGTGTAACCCACCAGACTGGCAGCGAAACCTGATCTGACCTCGCAGGCAGAGCTTGTAAGGCGGGCACGCAAAGCTATTTAGGCTAGCTGAGACTAGAGAGACTTGTGAGGAGACTTAAGAGATTTAAACAGGCAGCACAATGGCATATAAATTACACTGGTTACAAGCACAAGATTATCCACAGTGGAATAAATAATTATTCACACATCCTGTTAGGACAGACAATTGCTACTCACTGAAAGGCTTGAGGATAATTACGAGCAAAGAAACAAAGCTCCTCGAAGTGAAGTCGTAGGAAACCTGTGCTAACGTTACGATGTATAAAAGGGAAATATGAAAGAGTAATGAAAATAATAAACCGACTTTTCAAGCTTTTTTTTTTTTTTTTTTCAAAAGGCAGGCGGGGGTAAAGCAGCTACTTCTGGAGACTTAAGCCCATGTACCTGCGACTTCCAGCAGGAGCTTTGTGCAGGAGGAGGGAAGCGAAACAGCAAGAGCTGGGAGCTTCACAGCTACTCCTCGGAGCGGTGTGGACAGCTGTGATGCTGTCAGGAATCAGATGGTTTGTGCTGCTGCTGCTGCTGCTCCAGCAGAGCTGAGGACCACGGGTGAAGAGCTGGGGAATCCTTCGCTGAAGGCTCGCAAACAGGCAGACGCAGGAGTCAGAGAGACGAGAAGCAGAGCACTGCCAGACCGCAGCCAAGAGGGGAGGGATTATAAAAGGGGGAAAAAAATGAGTTGTCACACTTGCACGGGAGGGCGAAGAGAGCATGCTGATAAGCTGCAAATGCATCTGGCCCCCGAAGGCCTGGAAACAAGCCGAGCCAGCACCCCGACGCTGGAGAAGCTCGGCAGGAAAGCCACATTCCTCCACTCCCCAACTCATCACATCGCTGGTTTGTCAGGCGGTACGGAGTGGCCACTTCCATCACGTAAGCCTTTTAGGTTTAAGCGCTCAGTAAATATTTTAAGTTATGTCTGCACGGGCAGAAGGTAGAGTTTTTTATTCGCATCATCTGAGGATAGCAGCAAGTACTTGTGAATCGACTTTCCATATGTCAATATGCAATTAGAGGAGCTAAATCTGCGGTGCAAGAAGAGCTCTCACGGTGAAGATAATGAAATTGAGATATTGGCAACTCTTAAGATCAAACCCTAGATCTGTTATCGTAATTAGCATATTTTCAGAACAGGCTAATTCAAAATGGGATAACAAGCAGGAGATGATGTGTCACGTATCTTTTTAGAAGCTACTAAGGGAAAAAGGGAAGACTAAGCTCACTGCATTTAAGATATACGTATGGTGCTCCAAAAGAAAATTTGAAATTATTACTTTAATTTCAACCCAATTCCTGAATTTTCCTAGAACAAATGCTACTTCGTATATATAAAATTTAAAATTCCACAGCTGGTTTGTTGCCAGGAGGTGCTGAGAACTCACCTCATCCCAAAGGATTTCATATATTTGTATGCAAGCACATCTTAACATGTGCTTCGGAGAAAAGAAGTTCAGAACAAACAAGACACACAACTGGATTTAGGAGACGCAGTAAGAAGCAATGAGGTCAGTGTCTGAAGCTAATGTCTGCTGCTACCAAACCTTTACAGGAGGTCCAGATGTTCCCAGAAGGTCCCAGAGATGCCCTTTCTAAACAGAAACACGTCAATCCCGGCAACCCGCTGCAGCCATTATCTCCTACAAGTCTCTTCCACGAGCAGAAGTGACTCAGCCCTCTGACAACAATCTAAGATGCTACAACCCTCCATGGTCCGCATCCCAACAGAAGAAAACAAAATGCCCTGGAGTCATTTAATCCTGGAGGAAGGGAGAAGAACAGTCACTATTTCCTCTACTTAAGCGATGACATATAGTCATTAGGACTCGTCCTAAAACACCAACTTTCCTGTTCAAAGCGTTTCATTTCAACACATGCGATATTGGGCAACCAGTTGCACAATGTTAAATTAGAACCAGAGAAGGAGAAACATCTTCTGGCTCGCTTGCAAATATGCAGTGAGGGAATTAAGGTAAAATTGAGTCTCAAAGACTTGGTTAACAGAATAAAGGCTGGCCACCAGGCTTACCATCGCTCGAAGAGCACCAAGTGCCAATACAGTTACACTCCCAAAAGAAAGCAGAAGCCCCTCCTGGGTCCTTCTGAGATGGCAAATGGCACCGGGGTCCTGTGTCCGCCAAGGCTCGTTGCCAACAAGCAGATGTGCAGGCTGGCTTAAGCACGCCTTGTCTACACGGGGTCCCTGTCTCACAGATCTACGCTGGTGTCTGCTCGAGTCCTGCTGCGCTGCAGGCAGGAATTACTCCAGGTTGGTCCCTGTGAGCCAGTGTGACCCTTGATGGGATCGGCAGTGGCCCCCTTGTTGAGAAGAATATGCACAGGGGAACCAAAAAATCCTACAGAGATGAACTGAAATTGTCAACAGCACAAGAAATGCAAGACTGATGGATTTAACACCCCAGATGCCCTCCTCTTACCTCTTCTCAAACCCCTCCCAGCCTCCTAGGGCACACCAATGATCAAAGATTTATTGTGCAGCCATCTTTCCCAACAGCCTAGGCATTAAGAGCAGAGGTCATCGCTGCTGTTTAAGCAGGAAAAAGCATTGAATTATATCTGAGGAAACACAAGGCATGGCAATGCCAGTAAGATGCACTAGCTATAACCACTGCCTTATCATTAAATTCTGTGGTGCAGGGGAACACTACTGCCATTTACTGCAATAATGACTGAATTACAGTTTTTCCTCTAAAAATAAAAAGAAGGCAAAGAGGGCGTCATTAGATTTTTGCGATGGGTTGGTTTGCTTCTAAATGAATTATGCAATAATTTCCCCAAGTGTCTACAAATGCCTTCAGGATGTCTTTTTTCACACACTTTGGCGTTTTTGAAAGGTGAAATGGAGAGGCATAAAACCTTGCGTGGTGTCGGCAAAGTTGTTCCAGAATTTTAAACTGGTTTTATGCAAGTATTATTTGCAATTACAAGTAAGCTCGGCAGAATGAAATGGAATGCTTGGGAGCAAAACACAACTTCAGAGCACTGTTTGTACAGATTATGAAAGCAGACTGATGG